CTATATGAGTTATGAAAATGTCATCCTCCATCCTACCAACACTTAAATGTGTGGAGGTGCTTGATGAGTTAAGATTAATTAGTGATAAGAAGAATCACATGATGCTCACCAATTTGATTTGAGTACCTTTTGATACTTTGAGATATTGAGGGACCAAAATGAAAATAAATTTAAGATTCTGTAATTTTTTTATTTAAGCCAAATAAATAATTAGTGAAAAAGTGAGAATTATCCTATCAATATTAAGCTCATTTTGAAACTCGTATTAAATGACGCATTATGAATTCAAGAAATTGTTAATTTATTTAAGCCAATTGTAGCTCATTAAAGTAAACTACTTGATTGGTAATATAGTTTTCAAATAAAGTCAAATTATAATATCAATATTGGACTCGTATTGAAGCTAGCATTAATGGAATATTATAGGTTCGAGAAAAGTTATCATCATATGCAACGCTAAAATATAATACCGCGGAAGGGATGTAACATTGGACAATAAGATAAATATTGCACGAACATACTATATGGCTAACAGAACTCGATTTATCTCATAAAATAGTATCTTGTGAACCTGATCCAACCAGCGATAGGGAAAATTTAGTGAAAGAACTATTGTAGATTTTAAGGCAATCTGAAAATTCGACATTGTTTTTCTTGTGCAACGGGTGTACTCCCTCTAATAATGCAGTTGATAACATCTAAAAACAAATCAAATCCAACAGTAACGAAATCGACGTGAGCTAGAGCTGGCTAGAACGATGGACGGCGACCCATCTGCGAAAAAATTCTATGATGGAAGACCAGTTTTGCAAGCAAATTGAGGCTGTTAGTCACCAAACAACTGGGATTAGGAAGAGATTGTTGGATGTAGCAATGGAAGAGAATGAGAGTTATGAATCTAACGAGGTATCTCTGTGCATTAAAGTTAGATCTGTAGATGCGTCCAAGAAAGTCCCAATGCCTACGAAGAATAGGAATAAGGAAACAAGGAATATCTTCAAACAAGATGCATCATCTAGCTACCTCTGTCCGAAATAACCAAAGGTACACCTTTCAGCTAAAGCTAAAATTGTCCAAAAAAACAAATTAAATTAGACATTAACTGGTTTCAAACCAAAATGGAAAAAAAATGATGACCTAAGTTTTATTCTCACTAAATTAAATTTGTTGTCCTATTACATAAGCGGACGCATTGATAATAACCAACAATAATGGAGAGAATAAAACATTAGAATACTAAAACAATAACCTCCTCTTTGTCATTATAAGAAACTAGCTATATATGCCCATATTACTTAGTAATTTTCTTTTTCTTTTCTCTATTTACTCGTTTCTCATGATGTGGTGAATATATATACTACATAATTGTTACATGACAGCAAGAGAGTATAATCAACTAGAGGATGCAAAAGATAACACGAAAATGCCAAAGCAGGCATGAAATTAAAGAGATGAAAAACACAGATTCTATATCTCAAGTGCCACTAGAGATTGAATAATTTTCGCAATTTGGGACTTCAAATTTGGCCTACCGAGTTTGCTTTAAATAAATTGTGTAAATGTGTAATGTATCATTGGCAACTTTGAGATCCCCTTGTATATTTCACTTCATGACTTTGAACGTATATGTTGTAGTTAGTAGAAATCATCATGCATAAATTATAATAAAATCAATCAAGCTTTATTTATTTTTAGATGAACAACCAACAATGTTTATTGTAAAGGACAAGGGAATATTGCACCATTAGTCGACTTATGACCTTGTAGCAACTTGGTCCTTTAACCCTTTTTTTGGGTAGAAGTTCCTGACATTTTAGTTTTTGTGGGTCATTGGTTTTCAACGGATGTCATTGTCCATTTGGTCGTCCACAATGAACTTACGGGGATAAGATGAATAAGCATTTAAATTTTAAAAAAATAAAAATAAAAAAGAAAGAAAGAAAGAAAGAGAAAAAAACAAACATACTACTTGCATTTTTCTTCTTCTTTTTTGCTCAAACCACCATGAACAAAAATATGTATTATAATTGAATGGAAATAATAGAAATTACAAACTTGAATAGACATGTACAATGCAACCTTAAGATTTTGGGCTCTAAATCAAATTTTTATATAGGGCATTCTAAGTTAAAAATAAAATCACTTACAATGATTATAAATAAGATTTAATTTTTTACTAAACAAAAATATTCAATGTTACAATAATAATAATTTAAAATTTTCAACTTAATTTTCTTGTTTGATCCCCATTTTTTAAAATATATTTTTCTCTCTTTTTTTAAACACACATTCTTTAATAAAATAGTAATATTACACGCAAATTCAAATTTTTTTCTTAATTTTTAACCACATAATCTCCATTAATTTACTATTTCAAAATACATTCTCAATAGGGGGCTCAAACACTTTAAATTTACTCTTCTAACATTTTGAAAGAAGGAAAGAAGGTTGAGCAACGTATCAACTTCCAATTGTTGAAAGATTGGACTTAAAAAATATTTCAAGAGTTGACTTCAAATATGCTCTTTCTAGCATTTGGAAGGAAGGAAAGGTTGTGCATCAATTTTGATTAGAGACAATTGTTATATATGAAGGTCGAGCAGCACATGTTCTAACTCCAGTTGTTGAAAGATTGGACTTTAAAAAATATTTCAAGAGTTGACTCTAAATTTACTCTTCTAGCATTTTGAAGGAAGGAAAGGTTGTGCATCAATTTTGATTACAGATTGTCGTGAATTATGATCATGGTCGGTCCTGAGGCGAGGCAAATGAGGCCCTCGCCTTAGGCCCAAGATCATAAGGGGCATCATTTCAGCCCATATTTTTTTTTCTTTTTCAAACAAGGCAAAACAGCCCAGATTCAATGGTGTGAGATTTGATGTAAATTTATTGAAGACAAGATCTAAAATGGTTAAATTTTGGGTTTATTTTCTTGAAAATGATGTGGAATTTGATGAATTTTATAAATGAGTATCTATAAATATTCATGTCGTTGTCTTATTTTTGTACAAAAAACTTTGTGAAGATAGATATTTATGTGATTGTATTTGTTAAATCCATGTCGTCGTCTTATTTTTGTACAAAAATTTTGCGAAGATATTACTACATTTTACAATTCTTTCATTCTAAATCTGCTTTAAAAGGGATAGAAAGTCGTATTTTAATCTATATGTATATTTTTGTTTAATTTTAGTTGATAATAAATCTTTAGTCAATTATGCCGATTTCTTAATCTGCACTTCCATACTTGGCACAAGTTCCTTAACTCTATGATTAAATCTTTGGTTTTGTTATTTTATGATATAAATCTTTTGTATAATATATTTGGTTGTTGTTTATATGCTAGTTTTAAGTTAGCAATAGGTCGCATAATTTACTGTTGAACTTTGCATTTACGTTGATTTCGTCGGGGCCTAATTTGTAAAATTCGCCTCGGGCCCGACAATCGCAAGACCGACCCCGATTATGATATATGAAGGTGGAGCAACTAATGCTCTAACTTTCAATTGTTGAAAGATTAAACTCTAAAAAATAACTTGGGCTATCTATCTATCTACGTCTACACTACCTTAACAGGGGCCATAAAAAAAAAATTAAAAAAAATACTATTCATTATTGAGTATCCGTTTCACACTACTATTCAAATGAATTATTTCATATGTACCGAATGGTGTCTCCCCTCTCACAATGCATGTGTGCTCCGCGTGAACTTAAAAATGTCGACATGTGATTCTCACGCTTATTGTGAATAGCAGTGAAGAGGTTCGATAAAAAAATTCAGTACTCGTAACATTGTTCATATTCAAAAATGAGTTCTTTTTATTATTCATTAGTATAATAAGTAATTGGCAGCCAATGGCCGGTTGACTTGGCCTATTTTTTCACAATGACCTTTGATTAAACTTAAGTGAAAAAAAAAAGAAAAAAAAAAGTAATTTTTTTTTTAAATTCACAATATCCATTTTAACCCATTTTGGACGTTAGAAATTTGAACAGTGAAATTTCTCTTTTACCAAAAATCGATTCTTCAAGGTTTCTTCATCTCAATCTCCAGGGGCGGAGCCCCATTAGGTCCAGTACGAGCAGATGCCCGCACTGAACTTTTGGGCTCCAGTAGGGCCAATTTTATTTTATTTATTTATTTATTATTTATTATTATTTTTTTGGTAAAGCCTGGTTCAATAAAAAATGCCCAATTGCCCACAGCCCATGACCCGTTTACTAACCCAAACCCGGAATCTTGATTCAATTAACCCGATTTCGTTCAAATCAAAACCAAACCCTTGCTTGAACTTGAATTGCGTCTCTCTCGACCGGTCGACCCTCGCCTGCTTCTCGTCAGTCGCAACTCCAACTCACAATCGCCAACTTCTAGACTATAGTTCCAGTCCACTGTCCATTGTCAGCTGCCACAACGCTTCCTGCCAGCCCAACTACCCAAGCTACCCAACGAAAGAAGAAGAACTGATTCACTAGATATTGGAGAAGCCCGAAGCAAGAGCCCAGAAGAATGAAGAAGGTGATTTCGATTTCGATTTAATTTTCAATTTCAACCTCCAATTTCTTGTAACAAACTCGAAATTATTTTTCGAGTTCCATTGCGTACTTATACCCAAATCGTGCCTGCTGTTCTGTGATTTCCAATTGGGAATTTTCAGTGAGACAAAAAGGATTTTTGGACTATTTCTTGTTATAATATACATGTGATGTGTTATGTGTATGTAATAGCAATGAATTATTTGTGGGTTGGGGCATAGCATTTAAGGAGATGGGAATGGGAATATGGGATGATGACATTCCTGCTTAAGCTCGACCAATTCTGCTGCTACTGAGTGCCGAATCCGATATGGCAGCGTAGGTTTTTAGTGAAATGGAACATAAATTTTATAGTTGAAAATTATGTTATTAGTGTAATTACTGATCAATCCATTTTTAAATTTTTTATATATGGTAATGTTCATCTATGAACAAAAACAAGTCATTTATGGATATTGTTTGTGATGGCAAAGAGCTGTGCTAACTTCCATTGCGTAACTGCGTTCGACAAGTGCAGGCGTGCAAGTGCAGCACTCGCCTTCGATTTTGGAGCCGTCACCTGTACCTGCTTTGGAGTGGAAATTGCGAACTACTATGTGAAATTGTAAGTTCAGGTTGCTTAAGATTTGGAAATAGTATAAATTGTATTGTGAAATTGCAAATTGGAAGGTGAATTGATATTGTGAAATTGGATTGATAATGTGAAATTGTGAATTAGATTGTGAAATGTGAATTGCACTGGAAATTGAAATTGTGAAATTGTAAATTTATGATCCTTTTGTCATTATGAATTATTCTTACTCACTTCAAGTAATAATTGGATATCAAATGTTTAAATCCAAATATCAAATGAATAGATAATTTGAACGAAAAAGGAACGTAGATAATGTTGATGAAGGGGTATTGAATAATGTGAAATTTGATGTCACAAAACTTCCAACTGATCCTGATTTAAGGATATCTATTTTGGATTACAATGATAACATCTGAGATGAAGTTCGAAGAGCATATATGTTAAAGGGTCCTTGTCAGCTCCAAGATCATGACTTTCTAAAACGACAATTTGGAGTAACAATTAGACGATTCAATCCTTCGTGGTTTAAAGAGTTTGGTAGTTGGTTGGAGTACAGTGTAGAGAAGGATGCTGCTTATTGTTTGTATTGTTATCTTTTCAGAACAAGTTCTGGAAAGCAAGGTGGAGGTGAGTCTTTTGTTGGCGAAGGTTTTACATATTGAAAAGATAAAAAAAAAAAAAAGGCTTCATACTCATGTTGGACTTCATGATAGTGCATATAATTAAGCTCGCATTAAGTGTGAAGTATTGATGAATCAAGAGCAACTCATTCAATCATTTGTCTACAAACAGTCAGAACAAGCAAGAAATGCATATGTTACACGTCTTAATGCATCCATTGATTGTGTTCGAGTTCTTTTGCGACAAGGGCACTCATTTCGAGGTCATGATGAATCTGAAGATTCTCTCAATCCAAGTAACTTCTTAGTGCAATTGCAATTTTTGGCTGCTCATAATGAAGTTATTAATGCCATCACATTGGGAAATTCTCCTCACAATTGCAATTGACATCATCTGATGTTCAAAAGGATATAGCAAATACTTGTGCTATTGAAACGATCAATGTTATTATCAAAGATGTTGGCGACTCACTAATTTCTATTCTAGTTGATGAATCTTGTGATGTGTCAATGAAGGAGCAAATCTCTATTGTTTTACGTTATGTAGACAATAGTGAGCATGTCAATGAACGCTTCAAAGGGATTGAACATGTTATAAGTACCACGACTCTATCACTTAAGGCTGCAATTGATAGAGTATTTTTCAGATATAATTTGAGCATGTCTAGATTGAGAGAACAAGGTTATGATGGAGCAAGTAATATCCAAGGTAAGTTTAATGGTCTGAAAACACTCATTTTGAAGGAGAGTCGATGTGCCTTTTACATACACTGTTTTTCTCATGAACTCCAACATGCACTTGTGGCTGTTGCAAAAAAGAACGTCCCTATTACTAACTTCTTTCGTGTGGTTGGGGACGTGATAAATACTGTTGGAGTATCTTCCAAATGTTGTGATCTTCTTCGAGAAATACAATTAGACTTTTATTGTTGAGGTATTGGAAAAAGGTGAGATTTTAAGTGGACGAGGACTTAATCAAGAAACGACCCTTCAGCGCTCTGGTGATACACGATGGAGTTCATATTATAATTCTTTGGTCAGCTTGCTTGCTATGTTCTCTTCTGTTTTAGATGTACTTGCAATGATTGTTGAAGATGAATCTTGTTATTGTGATCAAAGATCTGATGCAACAAATTTATTGGAGTCGATACAAAAATTTGATTTTGCATTTAATCTATAGTTGATGAGAAGTGTGTTGGGGATGTCAAATGAACTGTCAAAGGCATTGCAAAGGAAAGATCAAAATATTGTGAATGCAATGCAATTGGTGAGATTGTGCAAACGACGACTCCAAATAATGAGAGACGAAGGGTGGGACTCCTTTTTGGAAGAAGTATATTCTTGTTGTCAACAACATTACATTGATGTACCCAACATGGATGATGCGTTTGTACGCCTTGCACTTCGTTGTTGCCATCAGCGTAATTCTCTAGAAATTACAAATTTACATCATTATCGAGTAGATTTGTTCTACTCTATCATCGATTTACAACTTCAAGAATTGAATGATCGTTTCTCGGAGGTAAATACAGAGTTACTCCTTTGTGTGGCTTGTTTATGCCTACAAGATTCATTTTCTTCTTTTGACAAGAAAAGCTTGATTAGACTTGTTGAGCTTTATCCATTAGATTTCTCTGTAGTAGATATCATTACACTTAGCGATCAACTTGAGATTTATATTTTTGACATGCGCTCTAACAAAGAATTTGAAGGGTTGAATGACCTTGGTGATCTTGCGGAGAAGTTAGTTATGACAAAGAAAAATAAGGTATATCCATTGGTTTACAGACTTTTGACTTTAGCATTGATTTTACCTATTGCTACCGCTACTATGGAGAGAGTCTTTTCTACAATGAGCATCGTAAAGAATAGATTGTGCAGTCGGATGGGTGATCAGTAGACGAATGATAGCACTATTATTTATGTGGAGAATGATATAATTTTGAAACTCGATAATAAAGTTATTGTACGACGATATCAAAATATGAAAACTCACAAGGAAAAAATTTAATATATAAATTATGTCGCTTTTAATATTGTTGTAATATTATTTTATTTTTTTATCATCATTAAATCTATGACCAAATACTCAAAGTTCGATGTCGAAAAATATAGCCGCACTGAATACAAATCCTGGCTCCGCCCATCTCTATCTCCATTCTTCAAGGTTCTTCATCCATCCCCATCTTCAAGGTTTCTTCATTTTATTTGGTTAGATTTTAATTTCGTTTGCTTATAATACGATGGATGATGTTTTTTTTTTTTTTTTTTTGCTGTAATATTCATTGATTTAAACAAAAAATTCTTTGTATTGTTGAAGAAATCCAAATCTGCAAAGAAATCACAGAGGATCAATTATCTGTTAATGGGGTCTGGCGGTCGGGGTGGGGGTCCGTTAACTGACTCCCCAAACGCAGCCTTAGTATATCTTCCCGTACTTTTGGTTGTCTCTTACTTCATACTTGCTTTACCTTTGTATCTCCATTTCCCTTGGACTCCGACATCGACTTTGGGGACGGGACAGGGACGAAGAGGATCGCGATATCATCGGACTTCGACATACACTCTGGGGATGAGGGCGAAGGTGACGAAGACGATGAAGAAGAAGGATCCATTGCGGAAGCCGGCGTGGCGAAAGAGGACCTGAAGCTCGAGATCAATGTCCGCAAGGCCTAGGTCGATTTCTTAACCCTTTCCTTTCCATTAACGGTTCTTTGTAATGGGAAAATTATTGGTGAACCCATTTTCCAGTGGCTGCTCCTCTCTAAATGGGAATTATCGTTTCTTGGTTTCAGCAAATCGGCGTAAGTGACCTTCTCGCTTTTGACCTCTGTCTTTACAGAAGGTGAGGCTCAGGGGCACCCCATTAACAGTGGCAACAGCAAAGAAAGAGAGAGCAACCATCGCTTTGTTCCTAAACCTGATGAAGCCACCGGGCCATTCTCAGAAGCTGTGCTTCTTAGAGAGGTATTTTTCTTCTTCTAATACCTTGACCACTACTTTGTTGGAGGTATTTACAATTTTATCTTCAGAAGTACTTCAATTACAAGTCTGACTGTGAAATTTTTAGAGAGGGTGCAATATATATTTCAAAATTAGTTCAATTTCAAGCCACAAAGATTTACTATAGAAATCATTTTGCATAGTTTGGTGGCAAAATCTTTTTGTTTTAGCTATAGCAGTTTTAGTTCATTGAGCCAAGACGCGGATAAACATCATAAACTGTAAAGTAGAAGCATGGAGGAGTACTTTGGAATTTATAGGTTTTTTGGTTAAGTAGAACTAAATACATTAATTGAAATGTCCATTTCGTTAAGAAGGAATAAGGATAATAGCAACTTGATTAATTTACATACCAACCTCACATAATGAAATGGAGCAATGCTACAAGAGTTCTATATTTTGTGAAATATGTACTCACTTTAAAAGGCAATTGCCAACGCTTGTTAGATCAACTATACTTGTTCATAATAAATTTTGTCCATGATAAAGGCAGTTGTTCTTAAGGCGAATAAAAATTTTAAGATGGATGTATGGCCATAGAAGAATGGATAAAATCAGAAATGAATACCCATGACAAGTCGAGGTGACTCCATTGAAGATAAAAAAGAAAAAATGACGACTTGAATTGTTAGATATGTATTGTGTAAATTCAGGGAAGTTCTTTTTAACAAGAATCCATGAGGTCCCAAAAGAAAACATGTTAGAAGAGGGGGATGTACACCAAAATTAATATTTTATGATAATTTGATTAAAATATATAGTTTTATTGGACCATTCAATAATAGTCACAGATCAGATGGTTGGATGAAGGAAGACTCGTGTAGTCAACCCCAAGCTACTAGGACTTTTTCAGAACTTATCCAAAAAGAGGTGTTTCTGGTATGCATTTTACTGTTGACTATGAGAATTATAGGAACAGAAGAAGCTCTTACATTTTGGAATTATTTCAGCCCCGAATCTTTGACTCCAATTTTCAAAAGATTTTACGTGAATGTAGATTTTGGTTTTTATTTCTGAGAAAATTCAGGTATGTTGGAAACATTCACACCTAGGTGACTAAACCGCTTCACGAAGTTTTTGCAACTACTGGTCTTGTTCAAAGCTTACAGCTTGTTAGAAAGGAAAAGGTATAGTCTCTGTAGTTTTTTTTTTTTTTTTTTTTGCCATAGAGGCTAATATTAATGGGATGCGATGATTATGTTAGTTTTGGGCTGTGAATTTTGATTGTCTCCTTGTATACTAGCAATTATTGTTCTTGGAAAATGGAAAACTTGGACGTTATTTTGCTGTACTTCATTTGATCATTGAAGATCTGATTTTTATACCTTAAAAGAGTGATTCTTATATTTCAACTGATCCTATTCTATGGTTGATTAATTTCTCATTCCTATTGGATTAAAGGAATGAAGTTGTTATAGTCTTTTTATGTTTAATGGAATATGTTGCATTTTGTTCTATATAGATATAAAGTGTGTCTTTTTTTTTTTTTT